ATGCAATGAAGGACTCATATGGCCGTAGTTTGACCTCGTTTTGCAACTTGGTCGTGCAGTCAGGGCGACCGAGTTGAAAACACCTTGTCCGAAGTCGTCTGCTATACTGTGTATGCATATTCCCAGCTTCGAATAATCGACTTATCTCTTTTGAAGAGCTGCAGTTTGGTGCTATGATGCCAACCACGATGCCCGCGAAACGTCTGGGAACGTGCCAAGTCCATGACCCAACGCTGAGAAGTATCAAAATTACTACTACTACTACTACTGCTACTACTGCTACTACTAAGAATTACTAAGACCAAATGACAAAAGCGAGATCAACCTATTTACATACAACGAAGTGGGACTGTGACGAAAATAGAGGCCACAATAATAGGGTCTTCATACCTACTCATATTAATGTGGGAAAATTCCATTATTTATCCATCGTCACATTCTGCAACCTATGGCGAATAGAACTGCTATGCATAATGATAGAACGTTTCAACTATACAGTGCCCCTTCAAGACAGATTTCAGCGAATGCAATTGTATCGGCAAAAATGTGTATCACAGCCTCAACAAGCCCTTCGGCCAGGCCTGAGGGATCCGAAGAAAAACAGTCCGATTTTCTGTTAGCCAAGACGATTAGATAACAATCAAAGAGCTATCTGTCCAACAATCAGCTCACTTCGGGCCGACTGGAAAGGGAGAACGAGCATCGATGCCCAATTTCCACACGACAAACTTTCACAGTTTGCCCAACAAACCTTTCCCACGCACCAAAGCGACGGAAGTGTGTGCCAGCTTGTCTGTACTACCCGCGACCAGATGACATAGAGCATACAAAGGAGCAGCAGTCTACGAGACGGGAGAAGGGAGAAGGGAGAAGGGTCTAAATAGGCAGAGTTGAAAGGCTAGCAACAGGGAGGCAGCTAATGGGAAGAGACGAGGTGAGCTAGACGGGGAAATAAAAATTAGCAAAAAAGCCTATTCCACCGATAAGGCATAAGGGCAGAAGACAAACTGTAGAGATGGTAGGCAGATCAATTTTCGACCAGGCTTGGAGAAAGCAGATGTGCCGTGGCAGCCCGAAACAATGCTCGGCGATTTGGGGACATGTTGAAGTGTGGATGGCTTTGGAACACAAGAGTCGCCTGCCTCCTTATGCAGGAGAGATGCAACACTTTTCACACCCGAAGCACCCTTTTCAAGAGAAGGCAATGAGCACCGACAAATGGCATACATCCAAAGCCGGCAAGGTCGCTCGGCTTTAGAAGACACGTATCAGGTACCGTCAATACACTTCGGGACTCGAACCGGCAGCTTGCACGTTAAAAACCTTCTTAGACTCACTGAGTTTATGGAAATTTAGTGCCGGTTACCAGCCAAGTATCCATATGAAATAAAAAGTCTAATCACATGATGTTAGTATGTAAGAGGAGAGGGTAGTTGTTGATTAACTTTACATCTCATATAACTGATTTACTGGTAGTCTCGAAACTTTCATTATATACGAAAAATAATTGATGTAGTCGATTGTTATAGCAAAATTCATTTGCCTCATCGACAATTCCACCAAAGAATGTGATATTGGAAAAGGCCTGGCCTTCCTTGAAATGCACATCTGGACTGGTGGTGCTGCACTGTTACGGTTCGACTTCCGTTGTAGGGTGTTGCTAAGACCTATGCGAGGTCGAAACTTCAGTGCCTGGATGAGAACAACTTTTTGGAAAGTATGTCTATGCGAAATTCAATGGAAACGTCATTGTGGGAAAATTCTACTACCAGACCTTCATCACCTTAAACGAACTATGGTAAATACATCTCATATTACTGATTTACTGGTAGTCTCGAAACTCTGCTTATATACGAAAAATAATTTTATGAAGATGACAAAGGATTCCCTAAGGTCTGTTGATAAGCTTCTGGTCCATGCAGTTGCCAAGGCAACCTGAGAACCTAGAATTTTGATCGTGTTATCAAAGCGATCTGGAAGAACCTACCTCAGTCAGGTTCCTCTACCCTAGCGGTCATGATAACTTCTAAAGTCGGATAGCGGTTTTAATAGACTGCCGAACGTCGAGTAACTATTGTAGTCAGCCTCATCCGTAAACCTTAGCATTGTCAGCCCCTAGAGTTGTCTTTTGCTTCTTTTTTTTCTACTTCTTTTTCCTCTACCTCTTCTTCTATTTCAAATTCATCTTTTTCTACTTCTTTCACTTCTTATTCGACATCGTCATCTTATACCAATTCCACTTCTTATCACCATATTTTTATACTTCTACCTCTTTTTCTAATATTTCTTCTAATTATTCCGACTATTCTTCTATTCCTTCTTTTACTTTTACCTCCACTTCTTCTTTTTCTTTTTCTTCTTCTTCCTATTCTACCTTTTGTACTTATTTTTCTATTTCTTCTTCTACTTGTTTCACTTGTTCTTCTTTTTTTTCTTTTTACATTTTTTCTTCTACTACTAATTCTTCCTTTTTTCTATTTCCTTCTCCATTCCTTCAACTGCTTCTTCTTCTTCTTTTTATTATTCTTGCTAGGAATTACACTGTATTAAGTCCATGGTCCGACGCCCATTATAACTGAGGAAGTCCGTCAAGGCAAGTTTTCCGATGTAGAACTGACAACACGATCATGCTTTAAAAGTGAGATAAGACCAATATTATACTGAAAAGGAGATTGAGGCCAATACAAAGGCCTCATCATCCTCATCCTCATGGTTATCCTTATTACCATGCCCATGGAAACCGTGCGCCATTATGCCTTGTAATGACACTCCACTTCAATGTAAGCACCTTGCTGACCCAGTAATGTCCCTCTCCCACTCATCGCTTGTGTAATCCTGCTCGGCGACCTTTCCCTTACGGGCACCTTCCAAGGTTCAACTAACACAAGTTTTTACCTGCCAGGTATGGACAAGATACTTAAACTTCAGTTTCCTTTCCCGGTAAGGTTGGCCATCGCAACACGAAGGGGACTTTCAAGCAGTCAGTTTAGCAAATAGTTCGTACAGCAATTTAACTTCACAGATGATGACTTTTCCTGCATTAAAATGGAAAAGCCTTACAATTCAATTGAATTTCACTTAGCCTTGCCTCCCAAAAGGTATCCTCATCTCGGCTGGACTTGACTGTACTGGACTGGACTGAACTGCAGATTTGACCTCGTCTGCCAGCATCAGCACCCTAAACTGGACTTGAATCGGGTTAGTGCAGCACACAATCCTGACAGGTTACCTCCACTCCAGCCAATAAAGTAAGAATAAGTCACTACTATATCATATTTTAGTAGGATTGTCGAAGAGGTAGACTTGTATTTTATTCCTATTAAGTGGATTTCGAAACTACCAGTAGTTATTAAATAAGAACCATGCCCTCTTTAGGTTACATAAGGTTCCACAAACATATAATTAGACGCTACAGTGCCACTGAAGTTCATTCAACCTATCGTCATAAAAGGTATTCTCGTCCAGGCTGATTTGAACCAGGGTTTTGACCTCCCTCCGTTATCATTAGCCCC